AAAAAAAAAAAAAAGTGGAAAAATTATTGAGAACTATATACAAAAAGCTTCAAGACATTCTAATCGTGTTAAAGAAGGTGATAATCTTAAAAATATTCTTATGGAAGTAACCATGGTTAATTTTTTAACAACCAATGATATTATGTATAATTTATCGTAGATAAACCTAGAATAAAGCAAAAAGGGAAGAGCAATATCAAATGAACTTATGGAGAAAAAGGACCTTTGCCTTGTGAATTATCAAAACAAAGCAAGAGACACAATATCTAGAGAATATTAAAAATCTATAAGAGACCCTACTGCTTTTTTCAACTTTATAGAATTTTTCAACTTTTCATTGATAGGGACGATTGACCTTAATTGTAATTAGTCTCCACTAACTAATTACTAATCTTATCTGGTAGTATCTTTTTAAGGTGGAATTTTTTTGGTTTAATTTAAGTCTTAATTAAACTTTGTTTTAGCTAAGTAAGAAATTAGAAGAGAGATTTGTGATTTCTCGACACGAATAAAATGCCTAGTTCTCACACAAGTGTGGAAACTCTCGTTAATGGCGCGCGATTCACCGGCTTAACTATACTGAAAAATCAGAAAAACTCAATTTGCGACTATTTATTGAAAATACATATCTTAGCAAGCTCGTAAGATTATGTATAGAAGTTGGTGCTTGCTTAATTTCAGAAGGTCAAGAAAGTTGATGACCTGATAATGATCGAGTTTCGTATCTTATTATTATGTCTAATTAATGAACATAAAGGGGGGCATGATAATTTACCTCTATTTGATTTTCATGATGATTGTTCTTATGCTACAAGGTATTAAAAATCATTTATCTCTAAGAATTTCTTAATCTAAAATTTAAGGATGGATATTGTATATCATGTATGTTTATGGGGATCCTCAATGTAATCATTTCTTCAACTTTTTAAAGAGATTTGGGAAACCTAAGTCACCCTTTTTGTCTCATTCCTAATTGGCATCATACTATGTTCTTTTGCCACCTTAATTCAAATCAACCTAAAATAACAACATACCTTTAACTTTTTCAAAAGGTAGAATAACGACCATGTTTACTCGGAATGTTGAGCCAAAGACTCGATGGTCTTACGGAAATAACATTTTTATCTTTATAAGGTAGGGTTTCGTTACGATTTCGGTAGATTTCCTTAATCGAGTCACTGCCTATGAGTTTTCGGCCCATGCTTCAACAGACACGCGGTCAGAGCCCTGGCTCCTCTCACATTGCTTGGGAGCTTACGGTTTCTTGTTCTATTTCACTCCCCAATGGGTTCTAACTTCTATGCAGCGGCGAAAATA